GTTTCCAGAATACGAGACAGAATTACGTTCGAAGACGAAACGAGGACATAAGAACGATTAAACTTTAACACGAATGCGTACAGGTTCTTTTCTTCAAAATTTTGCAAACATGTGTTTCTCACCGAGAGTCATAATTTACGCGGGCAAGGCCGGAGCAAAGCGAAAGTCGTAAAATAAGGAGCACCGTGTTCCACGGCCGTCGAAGAAAACCCGTGTCCCGACGGGCTGACGCGTAGACCCGAGCTTCCGGAAGTGAAATTTCTACATTTCTAAATTGACCAATCGAACAATTAAAGAGCGGCCGGCGGCTGCGTGCGTTCGGGACGAGTTCCGTTCATCGGGTTCAAATATTCGAGCGGCATCGTGCTCGTTGCCGCAACGGTTTCCGTCACCGAAACCCGAATCCGAGTGGAACAATCGACTGGGAAGCACGCCATAACCTGCCTGGAATTCGTTTCGCCGGCTTTCCAGGAAAATCCGGCCGCGAGCCCTTTGTCTAGCCGTGATAAAAAGCGATCGTCTATATATAGATAAAGGGAAGTGGGGAAACGCCGACGGAAAGTTCACGGCGTGACCCGCATTCCCGGCTGCCTCCGGTGAGATCCCCGAAGAGTTCAGCGCGGAGTTCGACCGCGGCTCGGGATCGCGCGAAATCGCAGTCAAGGTTCCGAGAGACGCGAGTCCTAAGGCTCGTGGGTAGTTTCTACACAATGAGGGATCAGATAGCGCCCGTAAAAATATTGTAATAGCTTGTCGCGCGGCGAGGATGTGTCGAAACGCTTCGTTCGCACATAATTAATACCGCCAGGCACTCGAGTCCGCCTGATCGGCGCAATATTTTGCACCGCGGGCTTGCTACAGCCCTCCCAAAAGTGACAGGACATGTGCACACCTTGCAAAAGTGACCTTAACGTATTCGGTGGTCGCCTTGGAAAGTTAACGTTAACGTCTTTTCGATCGGAATGACTTTTTTCTAAAATTGGTTCAAAGGACGGGAATATTTTTTCGAGACGTTAGGCTGACCAGTTTTCTATGAAATGAGCATGTACAGAGTTTTTTTAGGTTGTAATAATACATTGGAACGATGGAAGAATTAGAGAATTATGTTTTTTGCAACTTCTTTATGCGAGCCCATAACGAAAATTTAAAAAATGCGTTTTGTAGATCATGGTAACTCGTATGCACGTTGAAAATTTCATCGATTTCATTGACCCATAGTCAAGCTACAGTCGCCGAAAGATGTAAAAATTACCTGTCTTTCCTTGAAATTCGCAAAAGACTGCGATTTTTTAACGATCTTTAATTCCTTACAGCTTATGTCAAGGTCAACCGGTTTCGATGAAATTTTCAGCATGCATATAACTTACCGAGATCAACGAAATGCATTTTTAAAATTTTTTAAACTTCCGTTGTGGGCTCGTATAAAAAAGTTGAAAAAAACATAATTTCTTATTCTTTTTATCAGTCCAATCAATTGCAATTTGAAAAAGCTTTTTGTATACTCATACCTAAAACTAGTCGGTCTAACATCTCAAAAAAATTCAAGTTCTTTGAACCAGTTTTGAAAAAGTTATCCCAATTGAAAAGGCGTTAACGTACTTTCCAAGACGACTGTACGTGGACAAGAAAAGTTCATCGTTGATTTTAGTTACAAGAAAATGTTGATGGTTAAATATTTTACCCTATTCTGAGTTGGATAAACGGCATTCTTGCGCACCGATGCCTTTACAAGACCGGGAGCTTTCATTAAAAAATTGCACGTTCCGAAGACGTGCTGTGTATTTTCTCGTTATGGGCAGTGAATGGATAGAGACGTGTAGTAGTACAACAGTTTAGCTTAATTAGAGAAAATGAGAGAAAGTGACCCAGACAGTGGATCTTTATGCAAAGATTCTCTGCATCAATTACGAGTAACAGGACACAATTCGACGTAGATGCGATCATCTTGTCGCGTCTAAAGCGTTCATAACTTACCTCTGAATTCCTTAAATTCACCGAATAAGACTCCCAGATTCTCAAGGCACCCAGGGTACAGTATTTCTTCCGAATTCGCGCTCAGATTGCGCAGAAAAATGGAATATTTGAGAAGAGGAGATACGATTATTCGCGCCTCGCGTCTCGTCTTTTATAGTTACCGATTGTATAGTTACAAATTGTCCATTTTTGTTTTCAAACTGAGCGTCAATTAAGGAGAAATTTATTTTCACTTTCATTTTCAAAACTTTTCAGTTTACAGTTTCATTTTCTTTACCCGGAGTTTGTCTTCACAACCTCGTGCTTTAGAACCTTAAAAGACGACAGTAAGTCGTTTAGCATAAATCTTCAAGATGCATCGCCTAAAGTTCAACCGGTAACTATCGCCAACCATAACTGCCCTGATCGCGTTGAAAAATGTTGAAAAACATTCTGATTGTGATTTTAGGAAACCGCAAAATAGCATTGGCACGATCGTTTTATTGTTGACAAATTTTTAAAAACACAGAATTGTATCAATGCACCTAATTTCGGTCGTTTCTGATCGAATCGTTCGAGCATCTATTTATAACATACGATATATCGATATCGATCGATATACAGGATGTCCCAAAATTATGGTATTTCCGGGAAATGTAGGGTTCCCGAGATCATGCGAAGCAACTTTTTCCTCAGCGAAAATATTCTACGAGGCTTCGTTCACGAGTTATTAACGAAAAACAGTGGACCAATGAGAGGCGAGCTCGATCGGCGCGAGGCGGGCTCGAACGGTCGAAGTCTAGATCCGCTGATTGGCTCGGTTGCCTTGCGCCGACCGAGCTCGTCTTTGATTGGTCACCGTTTTTCGTTAATAACTCGTAAACAAAGCCTCGTAGAACATTTTCGCTGAGGAAAAAGTTGCTACAAATGATCCCAGGAACCCCGCATTTCCCGGAGATACCATAATTTTAGGACACCCCGTATAATTCCTTTCATGATCGGCGCTGATCCAGAATTTTATAGTCCGCGACACTGTCCTCTGGCACGGTTTCGGATACTTCTGGGCTGTTGCGTTAGCGTTTCGTCACGCGTGAATTTACAACGCTAAACCAACGCCGGTTTTCAAGAAATCGAGCTCGATCACGAAGGCTCCCACGGCAAGAACATTCGAACAAGGTAACCGGACACTTTATAATCTTGCGCGATTATAAATTGGACGCGGCAATCGTTCGGTCAGCTCTTCGAGATCGGCCACCGTCGTTACGCAATTGGTAGCAGGTCGAATTGTGTGTTTTGAAACGGTCGATCTTTCGAGATAGATACTCGTGCGACAGGAACATAATGACTCATACTCTCATACGAGATAAATTCGTAAATCTCGCACACGAATCCTTGAAAAATATATATTTGAACGCAAGTAGTTGAAACGGGAACTGTAACAGGCTACGCTTCGAAAGTCCTTGGTCTGTTGGGAAATAATCTGGTTTCCTAGAGAAATTAATACGCTTTTTTGATATGTAAAAAAGTAAAATGAACTTTAAGTTAAGTACTTAAGTCTTTAGTAGCAACTAGAAGAATTTTTAACGAATAACTTCCGAACGTATTTACTTAATTTACTAAATTCTATCGTTATCTAAGTCTTGCTAGGAACATGACGCTTGCTCGATTAGTTAATGTATTCGCTGTCGATACTGTTTTAGAATTTACAATGAAGCTTTTGCCTAGTTGATATCGACTTGTACGGGGAACAATTAATCATGACCTGTCAAGCACCGTCGACAAATAAGATTGATCGTTTCTGGCCAATTTAACGTAGACTTAATATCTGGCAGTTTACAGTAAATTCTCTCCGATTGTCGCTCAGCTTGTAAACAAAAGCTGCAAAAAAATGGACAATATGGGAAGAGGAGATACGATTTATTCGAGTCTTTGCGGAACGTTTTTATAATCGTTGACAACCCTTGACAATCGGTAACTATAAAAAATGAGTCGCGAGGCTCGATTAATCGAATCTGCTCTTCCCAAGTTGTCCATTTTTGTTCACAAGCTAAGGGACAATTGGAGAGAATTTACTAGAATTCACTCTTAATGTGAGCAAGCAAATACGTATTTCGAGCGTTAGAGAGTTGCTGAAAATAATAATATTTGACCTGGTGAAATAATATTGAAATGGATACGAATATTTGTGACATTAAGAACTCGTGGATCTTATTTATGTTACATGCAAATTAGCCGAGCGTTAGCAGGCATAATAAATTGATTGATTTACATTTTTACAAATCCGCCCATAAAACTGCGAATTAGCATAAATGCTAGCAGCCTAGTTATCGGGAACCAGTTCGATGTTCGCTCTGAGATACAGTTCTGAAATAGGAGTATCCGTGTCGCACGAACACAAGCAGAAAGTTATAGCATACTCGTATACCTAAGCATCATCTTTCTGACACTCTAATTTTACGATTCGGACACAGAAATTTTTCTGTTAATGTCCGTCTGGTCTCCGACTGGAAGTCGATTGTCCATTAATATTGTAAAATCAAACTGTGATCCTCAACGAAACACATCGCAAGCGAGTAGAAAATAATTTTTCGAAAGAAAATTAGAGAGAGAATTAAAAGAAATTACTCGAGCGAAAATAATTACTGTAATTTCCCTAGATCCGTCATTTCGACGAGTTCGAAATTTATCGTTGATTTTAGGATAGCATACTCGCATACCTAAGCATCATCTTTCTGACACTCGTCTAATTTTACGATGCTGCTCGGACACAGAAATTTTTCTGTTAATGTCCGTCTGGTCTCCGACTGGAAGTCGATTGTCCATTAATATTGTAAAATCAAACTGTGATCCTCAACGAAACACATCGCAAGCGAGTAGAAAATAATTTTTCGAAAGAAAATTAGAGAGAGAATTAAAAGAAATTACTCGAGCGAAAATAATTACTGTAATTTCCCTAGATCCGTCATTTCGACGAGTTCGAAATTTATCGGTGATTTTAGGACAGCGCGAGCGGAAGGAGCGTGGCCAGGTGGAGAGAACGAAAAACATTTGTTTAAAAAACATTTATAAAATCAATTTATTTCATGAATCGTAGTTATGTTTTGGTACGTCGCTCGTCACGATGTCTTTTTTGCGATGCTCTAGGTTAGGTGGGGAGGAGGTGGTTGGGGTGGTGGCAAGTTGAAGGGAAAATTCATCTAGTAGTGTCCATAGTGTCCGCCCTTAACAAGAACTGGAACCGACTGTTTAACGAGAATGGGCTGTGGAACCGCAACAGGGACCGCGTGTGGGACCGGGACAGGGACGGGTTGTGGAACCGCAACGGGGACGGGTTGTGGAACCGAGACCTGCAACCAAAACCAAAAAAGCGTTAGTTAAACTGCGTACAAAAGTAACAGCCGCATCAACTCGGTAAGTGATTTCATATATTAAATTAATCTCGCGGTAGAAATGAAACTTGAAAAGTTGGCGCTAAGTTTCAATCGCCATACAATAATTGGGACCATCGATAACGTTTTCAATGAAAGCCAAAATCCTGTCCGTTGCTTCTACATTTCATTTCATTAAGTGCATCAAGTGCATCAAGTTCGTTCAAACAGCGCACAAAAGTAACAGTCGCATCAACTCGGTAAGTGATTTCATATATTAAATTAATCTTGCGGTAAAAATGAAACTTGAAAAGTTGGCGCTAAGTTTCAATCGGCATACAATAATTGGGACCATTAATAACGTTTTCAATGAAAGCCAAAATCCTGTCCGTTGCTTCTACACTTCATTTCATCGAGTGCATTAAAAAACAGGACGCAGAATAAATAAGTAGCCTTCGACGATCGTGAATGATGCATACTGAACGATCAATAAATAACCGGAGTTATGAAAAAAGTCGGTAGTGGCCCCGTCACCGTCGCCAATTCGGCACCGAATGACTGCGCTGATTGGAGCTCCACTTTTTGTCCGGTTCCATCGTCGTGGTCTCGTCGTATACAGAATCTCGGCGACGGCGCAGAGATCGAAATTCGATACGATTCCACTTATACGAAATTCGGTGGCGTTGTTTCGAACGAAATTTCGTGTACGTCCGTAACAACGATGCGATTAAGATTAACAAGGGGAACGAAAACCACGTCGCGGCCCGGCACGACGGTGGCGTTATCGCGATTCGAATCAGCGTGGCCCGCGACTAATTAACGGAATTACGAACGAAATCGAGAGTATCGATCGTTTCGACTTACCTTGACGGGGTATGGAGCGGGCACAGGCACGGCCACCTTAACTGGAACCGGAACTGGGACCGGCTTTTCGACTGGGACTTGGATGGTCTGAGTCTGTACCACTGGGTACGGCTTGGGCACCTCAACTGGCACTGCGACAGGTTGTGGAACCGGAACCGGTACCTGAAATAAACAACGCGCGATCATTTGTAAGTCGCATCTACTTATGCACGTGAATTCGATACTTCGCGTTCGCGAGAAATTATGCAAGAAAATGTCGCAACGATTCGACAGCTCGGCCTTCCTTTTTGTCACAGTGAATTTTCTCCAATTTTCCTGCAGCTTGTAAACGCAAATGGACAATTTCGGAAGAGGAGATACCATTATTCGAGCTTTATATAGTAATTTCTCCCTAATTCGCGCTCAGATTGCGCGCACAAAAGTGGAGAATTTGGGAAGAGGAGACACGATTATTCGAGCCTCGCGGCTCGTTTTCATGGTTGTTGACAATCGGTAATTATAAAAACGAGCCGCAGTACTTGAATAATCGTATATCTTTTTCACAAATTGTCAATTTTTGTGTGTACAGTAATTTTCCCCTAATTCGCGCTTAGATTGCGCACAAAAAGATGGACGATTTTTGAAGAGGAAACACGATTATTCGAGCCTCGCGGCTCGTTTTCATAGTTTTTGACAATCGGTAACTATAAAAACGAGCTCCAAGGCTTGAACAATCGTATTTCCTTTTCACAAATTGTCAATTTTTGTGTGGACAGTAATTTTCCCCTAATTCGCGCTCAAATTGCGCGCAAAAAAATGGACGATTTGGGAAGAGGAGACACGATTATTTGAGCCTCGCGGCTCGTTTTCATGGTTGTTGACAATCGGTAATTATAAAAACGAGCCGCAGTACTTGAATAATCGTATATCTTTTTCACAAATTGTGAATTTTTGTGTATACAGTAATTCTCCCCTAATTCGCGCTCAGATCGCGCGCAAAAAGGTGGACAATTTGAGAAAAGAAGACACGATTATTCGAGCTTCGCGGCTCGTTTTCATAATTCTTAACAATCGGTAACTATGAAAACGTATCTCCTCCATTTTCGTGCACAATCTGAGGGCAAATTAGAGAAAAATTCCTGTAATTTGACCACAAATTACGGAGAAGTCACTGCAATCTAAGCGTCAATTATAGAGAATGTACAGTATACAATTGTTGTCACTATGCGAACTGAAATTTTCGTCCGCCATTCGATCAAGATCGAGCAAATTTCCTTCGCCAACAAACGTCATCTTTCAATCAAACAAAAATCCAATTAATTCCCGCCGATGCGCGCCTTTCTCCTGCTTCATAAATCTGCACACGAGTGCATCGAGATCCTCTAATTGTCAGAACGGATAAGAAATTTCTCCTCGTTGGAATATATTTTGCGATAAAGAGAAGTAAAAGCACCGTTCATTTCTTCGAACGTTAGACGCATAATCGCGTATAAATGCAACAGAAATAGTCGTAAAAGATACGAGCTTCAATATTTAATGGACGTATATTCGCTTTCAAGCGGCCGAAGAAACGCGAAACCGCGCATTAACATATATCGATCATTAAACGTCCCGAGGACCTGCGACGATCGATACGCGACTTACGACTTCGTTGCCGAAGATCCGAGTAAATCGATCGCGATCCGACCGGATCAGCGTCCACAGAATTTCTGGGAACGTCGTCGTGTATCGTGGAAAACGGGGAAAATAAAGAACCGGAAGTTAGTTGGTTAACCCTTTGCACTCGAAGCCGTTTCAACTGTAAATCTAAAATGATTTTTCTGACTCACGCTGTCTCTATTTTGTATGCGGACAGAGTGCATTTTATACGCGCGATATCGAGTCTTGTCACTGATACAACACAGTTACACTTTGAACAATGTTTCAAATCTAAATTTTCTAAGAATTATTTTGAAACGCGAAACATTTTTAGCGGTGCCTCGGAGTCGCCGCTCGAGCGCCAAGGGTTAATAGAGCGCGTCGCGCTCTTTTACAACAATCGGCGGCTCGAAATTGGTTAAATTTCGTGTCCAGTTCGCTCACCTGTACTGGGTATGGTCGGTCGACGGCGACAGGGTACGGTCTCGGAACTGCGACTGGGACCGCGACAGGTCTATCCTGGACGGCGATTGCGACTTTGCTCGGTGCCGCCCACTCGCTACCGTCGAGACCGCCGAGACCACCAAGAGCAAGACCACCGTGGCCACCAAGACCACCAAGACCACCAAGACCAAGACCACCGATACCGAGCCCTAAAAGCCCGCGCTTCTGGATATTCTTCTCTTCAGCCGCCGCCACGACGATCAGCATCATGCATATCTTGAAAGCAGAAACAAACAATTAGCAGCCGAAACGCGCGTACGCGAGTGCTTCTTTCCTCTCGGCCCGAAGAAAATCACGAGCAAGTGGTGTATTTAGAAGTCGTATATTTATTTATACTCTACATCGTACGTTACATTTTATTTATATTTTACGTATACTGCGTTTTATATCGTAAATATTGGCAAACTATTCGGACCGTTTGTTGCCACGATAGAAGCGAATATATTTTTCAACGTATAACAATGGACTTCGACGTGGATCCGAAAGGGACCAAATCGAGGACGCGAGAACCCTCTGGCAACAAATTTGTGCAAGTTTGAACCGAAAGGGTGCGACTCGAAAGGGTGTATTCGATCCAGACTCGAACAATAGTGCAAAATCGCATCCGAAAGAATTGTGCAATTAGAAAAGGAAGAGAACTCCGGCGAAAGTTAAACGAGCTTAAAGTTTGTTCACAATGTCGTAGAGCCTTTCGATGAAAAATGTTAGACCGACGCGACGCGTCGCGACGTCACTGGACCGTTCACAGCGCGAAGGGATAACCGACGACGGACGCGTCCGACGTCCTTCGGCGCGCTCCGAGGCGTTCCTCCGTAGCACGAGAAACGTACCAGGACCCTCATCTTGCTCTCGACCGTCTAATGCTTTAGCAAGCGTGTGTTGTCTTGGTAAATTAAATCGGTTCTGTCGCATTGGAGGAAAACCACCCTTTATATAGGTAATTCACTTTCATTTCGCGCGTGCACCCCGCCAACGGAAAGCCAATGGCCGTCCGGTGTTCTATCGCCACACCTACCGGTACACTATTTACCCGCCGATACACATACCAGCCGCGTACCGTTACACATTATAATACATAACCAGCACGTGAAGTTGTATAACACTCTAAACGTGCGCCGGCCGGCTGCTGGGGCTGGTAAATAGAGCGCCGGCCAGTTTATGCAGATCTGCATAGCATGCACGGGCTTCGCTTGTGTATACGTATGTGTATGCGTGTGCGCGTGTGTGTGTGTTCATGTGTGTGTGCCGTGCAGTTCGAGCCGCAGGAGAGAGACTTTAACGAGGATCAATCGCGGCGTTTCGAGAGGAGCAACGCGCGATCGTGAGATTTTCGTTAACATCGGGAGCCGGCGCATCGGCGCAGATCGCGCGGATCCTTCGTTCATAACCCTAGGAATCGATTCCTAGGATGTTCCGCAACGTGTTGCGATTAGACTGTTTTGCCATTTCAGAAGCCGTCGCGCGTTTCCGCGTGCGAGCCCTTTCAACAGGTTCGTTGCCGGTCGAGGCGAACATGTAAAAGGACTTTCCACGAGCCGCTGCCCGCAACGTTCGCCCTGTGTTGCCGGAGATCGTTTTAGTGAACGCTGTCGAGTATTGTTTTACGAGTGCTTTTTTCCAACTAGCATCGGAACCTGGACCCCACGTGAGAATGTAAGAGGGAACTGCGAACGATGCTTCCTCGTAGACGGTGCTTGAGAGATGCAACTGTTCGTCGCGTCTCTCCGTCGCTGACTGATTCTACTGGCGACGTGTATCGCTCGGGCGGTCTTCGCCGAGACGCGAACATTTGCGGTACGATGTACACAGTAATGTCCCCGTAATTGACGCTCAGATTGCAAACGAAAATGGACAATTTGGGAAGAGGTGATGCTATGATATAGTTGTCGACAATCGATAATCATGGAAACAAGCCACAAGGCTCGGACAATCGTATCTCCTCTTCCAAAATTCTCTATTTTTGTGGACAATCTGAGCGTCAATTAGAGAGACATTTCGAGCGTAATTGCGAGAAACAGGCTATCAGCGATAGCAGAAACAGGATGTATATTTCATCTACAATAAATTCTCTTCAATTGACGCTCGGATTGCGCATGGACAACAAAAATAGACAATTTGGGAAGAGGAGATACTATGATATAGTTGTCGACAATCGATAATCATGGAAAACAAGCCACAAGGCTCGGACAATCGTATCTCCTCTTCCAAAATTTCCTATTTTTGGGGACAATCTGAGCGTCAATTAGAGAGACATTTCGAGCGTAACTGCGAGAGACAGGCTATCGGCGGTAGCAGAAACAGAATGTATATTTCATCTACAATAAATTCTCTTCAATTGACGCTCGGATTGCGCATGGACAACAAAAATAGACAATTTGGGAAGAGGAGATACTATGATATAGTTGTCGACAATCGATAATCATGGAAAACAAGCCACAAGGCTCGGACAATCGTATCTCCTCTTCCAAAATTTCCTATTTTTGGGGACAATCTGAGCGTCAATTAGAGAGACATTTCGAGCGTAACTGCGAGAGACAGGCTATCGGCGGTAGCAGAAACAGAATGTATATTTCATCTACAATAAATTCTCTTCAATTGACGCTCGGATTGCGCATGGACAACAAAAATAGACAATTTGGGAAGAGGAGATACTATGATATAGTTGTCGACAATCGATAATCATGGAAAACAAGCCACAAGGCTCGGACAATCGTATCTCCTCTTCCAAAATTTTCTATTTTTGGGGACAATCTGAGCGTC